AGCCCTGCCCTGGGGGTCTGAGGGGACACAGCCCTGCCCTGGGGGTCTGAGGGGACACAGCCCTGCCCTGGGGGTCTGAGGGGACACAGCCCTGCTCCTGCAACAACCAGGTCTCCAAGTTCAAAGATCTGCACCTTTCAGGGACCGACAGGCCCCGCTCAGACCCTTGAGGAGCTCTGTGGACTGTCTCACCCCAGAAAACACACACACACAGTATGCGCACAACTGCAGGAGGCCCCCAGATGTCCCCGCAAACACGTCTGCAGGCATTCTTAGACGTTTACAGCCCCAAAAACGAGAGTCCCAAAGAAACAGCCCTTGCTACCTCTGCCCCTATGGACCCGGGGGTGTGTCTTTCCTTCGGGGGGATCACCAGCTTCTGAGAGCATCTGATGAAAGTCAAGCGCCCTCGCCCACAAAAACCATGTCCACCCACGGCATAGTAATGCACGTCGGCACTGTGAGGGTCACCCATGGTCCCAGAGTCAGCACCTCCACCCAGAAGACAGGAGATGGGCCTGCGTCCCCAGGCCCAGGGTGCTGGACTGGGAGCCAGTTCTCAGTGGAGGAAGGAGCCTCAAGGGCAGCTGTGGCTGTCTGCCCCAATCTGTCCTCCCCTCTGGGTGCGGGATAGACTGCACTTCCCAGCGTCCTGTGCTGACGGAGCTCCTGCCAGCCTGGGTCCCTGACTCTGCCCTGTTCCTCCAGGAACAAACTTCCTGTTTGTCAAGCCACTGCCTTTGGGGTAAGAATGTGGAGGAGGGACTTGGGAGAGGCATGGGGCAGCCCATTCACCCCCAGCCAGCCCGCTCCTCACCCGGCCGTCGTGGGTCAGCAGGATGGAGTCACTCTTGATGTCCCGGTGGATGACACCCTGGGCGTGGAGCACAGACAAGGCCTGCAGCACGGCCAGGCACACAGCGGCAATCTGTTCCTCGTTCATCCTGTGCGGGGTGGTGGTGATCAGCGTGGGAGACGGTCCACCCCATGGTCTGAGGGGGACACTGCCCTTCCCCAGGGGGCCTAAGGGGGACACTGCCCTGCCCCAGGGGTTCTGAGGGGACACCACCCTGTGCCAGGACACTAAGGGGGACACTGCCCTGCCCAGGGGGTCTGAGGGGAC